ACAAAATTCTCTAAAGATTTACCTGTAATAAAAATTATCAAAAAGTTATAAATGTTAAAACAAGAAAACAGAATAAAAATTATATCTTATCTAATAAAATTGTAATAAAAAATATTTAGATGATTTTTATTATATTTTGGTGTTTTAAAATTTTAATATATATATATATATATATAATGTTGATGTTAATTAAAACAAATCAAACTCATATATTTACAGAAAGTTTGAAAAAGATATATATATATATATATATATAATGTTGATGTTAATTAAAACAAATCAAACTCATATATTTACAGAAAGTTTGAAAAAGATAATTACAAAAAAATTAAATTACTATTTTTTAAATAATGTTATAATTTTCCTTTTTAGATTTTTAATGATAAAAACCGTTCAACTATGTTTAATATGGAGGTTTACTTGTTAGTTTGGAGTTTTTTATTACCCAAAACAAACAAATTTGAGGTATTTTAGAGTTAAAAATCCATTTTAAAAAGATGACAAATCACTCATATATTACAGAAATTTTTAAAATGCTAGTTTTGAAAATTAAAATTACGAATTTTTAAATAATTTTATTAGTTTTTTTATTTTTTTATTTTGTATGTTTAATAATAAAACTCCTAAACTAAAGATTTACTGCTAGTACTAGTAATTATGACCGGTCGTACTGGTAATTATGATCGACGAGAGTATAATTCACTAAATAAAGTTAATTTAGAGATTTTTTCGTTAAATACTTAGTTTAAGGTTTTTTTTTATCCAAAACAAACTTAGTTAGGAGGTTTTTATGTTAAAAATTCTTTAAATGTTACAAAGATATAGAGGTTCATGTGCTAGAGAGCTTATGAGCAAGTGGGAATCAAGAAGACGAACCCGTTTGTTGAATGGAAACCTGCGATTTGGGCCACTTCCGTCAAAGCATGTTTCCATCTTTTGATTTCCTCCTCTGTTTTTCCTTTACAAGTTTTTTTAAAGGCTTTCCCAAAATCACCAGTCTGCTTCTTTACGTCAGTTGGATCCACTTGATAGAAAATGGACATCACTGTTTGACCAAATTCTTCTCTGCACTTGATGATCTCCACCAGCTCGTTCAAACACCATGTTGAGGAAGCATAGTTCTGCGAGAGCAAAACAATAGCAATCCTCGAGCCTTTAATAGCTTCTACGAGCTCAGGACCGATTGACTTACTTCTCTCTATATCATTGTCAATGAATAGGTCGATTCCTTTGCTCTTGAACTCCTTGATAATGTGGCTGAGAAAGTTTGTGCGGACATCTGCGCCGTGGAAGCTTGGGAAGACATGATGTATCCAATTGTGAGGCAAAGAAGACGAAGGAGCCAAAAGAGTTAAAGAAGAAGAAATCATTGTTTTGTTTTCTTGTTGAGATCTTGATTTTCTGTTGAAAAAGATTGCACCCAGAAGCGCCAAGAAGCATATTGCAACAGCAACAAGATTGGCAAGTGAAAAATAAGAATCCATACTAGTATGATGAAGAAAGGATGATCAAGATCTCAGAGATTTTTAGACAAGGAGGAAGAATACGTTGACTGAGAGATAAGAAAGAAAGTTTGGTGGAAACAGTTGATATCATCAATTTTCCACAAGAAATTTGTGGTCACCAAATATCATTTGGGCCTACCTATTAAAGGAGATAATAAATCAAAGAGACAAGATACCGTTTAAATAAGGTTCACCACAATTCCTCACATTGTATCCTGCTGTCCGTTTCTTAAATGTTTCGTGGAAATGTATAGATAAGGTTAGCTCACCAAGGAGGAAGCATGTTCCAAAAGGTGCGTTTGACTGTGCATGTATATAATGCAATTTACACATTAAACAGTAGCTCAATATGAGGCAAAATACTAATTCTAAAGGACGAAAAATGTGTTGTATTGCTGAAAATGGTGATGCAGATCGTGGAGATCTCATGAAGTATGTGAACAGGAGGTAAAACCAAAAAAAAAAAAAAAGCTCTGTAACTTTTATAAGTTGTTTAAGAGCTACGATTGATCTGATTTTTTTGGGTTTAGGTAGCAAAAGATTCAGCAGCACCCCTTGATGAAGCGCTAGCCTGGTGGAAGTTCAATATTAATGGTCTTCTTGTCCTGAATATATTGATGGATATGGAGGGTCCAATGCGCACTTTTGACCTAATGTCTGGAGGCATGGGTTTGGACGATGTATCCGTGAACAGTTTTTGTCGACTCAAGAGCTTAAGGGGTGATGGGAATAGTGGAACTCAGACATTCCGATGCTGAACAAACACTATCATACAATAACCTTAATCATCATGTTTCACATTTCAATAAAAAAGTTCGTGGACAAATTACAGATATGATTTATTGATTTTACCATGTATGATTAGTTGTTTACAAAATTACAATGTAAACAACTAATCATATCCCCTTCTTATTATTTGAGGAGAACTTTTGCAAATAAACCTTTAGTTCATGTGTTTATTACATGCATGTCATTTCCTACGTGGCAACTCCACAAGCCTTCTCACACCTTTTAACTAAAAGACCTTAGTTTACTAGAATAATTACACAACATGCCATTGATATAAATATACATATATGATATATATGATATATGATACGATATATGATATATATATAACCGCGGATTGGCTAAAGTATGATGAAGATAACATTAATATATTTCCTTATATACGATACGATATATTTTGTTACATAAGTATGATATATTTCCTGATATAAGTATTTTGTCATCACCTACGATATATTTCAAAATATATTTCGTTACATGAAGTATAAATAAAAATAGGGAAAAATGCGACATTATTTCATAATTAGGCATATATTTAAATTTTAAATATAATATTTTATATTTTATAAAATCGAACTTTATATTTTATATTTGGACAATATTCGATGTACAAAATACTATTGTCTTCAACTTCAAAATATATTTCGTTATATAAGTATAAATAAAAATAGGAAAATAATGCGACCTTATTTCATAATTAGGCATATATTTTAATTTTAAATATAATATTTTATATCTTATAAAATCGAACTTTATAAAATATTTCGACAATATTCGATGTACAAAATAATATTATCTTCAACTTCAATTAACATTAATGACCGAATCTGCATGCATATTTCAGTTTAATGGTTTCTTTCCATTTGAATGTCAATCAGCTATATATAATATTCTGAATTAATATTATATTTCATAATTAGGCATATATTCTATTTCAGTCACATAATTTTAGCAACTAAATCTCGGAATGTTTTTATTAGGTAAACGGTTTAATGGTTTCTTTCCATTTAAATGTCAATCAGCTATACAAAATATTTTTCGACAATGTCAACTAAAATTAATGACCTAATCTGCATAGATATTTCTAATATTGAATGAATATATTTCAGTCACATAATTTTAGCAACTAAATCTCGGAATATTTTTATTAGGTAAACGGTTTAATGGTTTCTTTCCATTTGAATGTCAATCAACTATATATAATATTCTGAATTAAATGATATAGCCATAAATTGGAATTCCTTGATAGACAAGCACAAATCGCAAATGTAAATTCTATTTAAACATATATAACTCGAGTTATTCTTGGTCCATTCGATATTCAGACAAGCAAGAATAAACCTACACATCTTCTATGGCCGCCATAAACCTTATATCTGAGTTGAAGCCTTTCAAGAACCAATGGAAGGTTCAAGTGAAAATTGTCCGCCTTTGGAAAGAGTATTCTGCAGCTGCTGGGGAGACTATCGAAATGGTCTTCCTCGATGCTAGAGTAAGTTAATTTTTTTAGAAATGATCGAGTTTTATTCTATTTCTCTTTTTGACGTATGAAGTTTATATTTATTATTTTATTTTAAGTATATCATTACGATGAGTTTAAATTTTTAAAAGAGTGTGTGTTGTTTCGTAAACTAACTAATTTTTATTTTTGTATGTAGGATTGCAAACCAAGAGTTTTGAAGACAATTTAAATTATTATATCATGTTTAATTTTCTATTTATTATTTTATTTTAATATACTTTTTTCTCATTATATCATGTTTTGTTTCTCTGTGTTTTATTATGATATTAATTATTTTAATTTATTTACTACTTTTTTTAGTAGACGATTTCTTAATTTTTTTGTATTATCATGTATCTATAAGACAAATAGATATATAAGACAAAAAGTGAAAACAAATAGCTATGAATCAATGCTTCGTTTCGCAGCTATACTAATATCTCATTATATGACTACACATCCACTACCTATTTTTAGTTAAACAAATTAATATACCAAATTATTCTTCGATCAAAGTCAAAATAATCTCACCCTTCGCAGGGCGCGGGTCAACACCTAGTGATTTATTAGAATTGGAAAAATGGGACACTTTGAACTTGTGTTTGTCAGAATAGGATTTTTCATACTTTTGACCATTTATGGACATGTTTTACCCTTATTTAATGGAAAAATAGTAAATTGAATTTTAAAAAAGTAAAAAAATATGAAACCTGTTGTAAACTTAAGTATGATAATATATATGTTTAAATTAAAAAAAAAAAATTGGTATCATATTTTATTTAATCTTCTAGCCATAGTTAGAATACTCATTCTGGTAATCTACTTAGGTTATAAATCAGATTCTAAGTGATATGAGTATATATATCAAAGATATATACCGTAATCTAACAGATCTTGTATATTCTGACGAAGATATATACCGTAATATAACCTTTCTTGTATATTCTGACAAAGATAGAATTAGTTACGTTGTAATCTAGAAAGATGTCTTCCTTCTACCTAGAGCTTGAAAACGATATATAACCACAACTCAATGATATAATTCGGCTACATTATGTGCCAAAACAGATTCTGATATAGGGGTAGTTTGGTATTAACAAGAATGAAAATCATATTTTCCAAAAATATGTGTCACAAATCCTATTGTGACAAATCCAAGTTCAAAGTGTCATTTTTTTCCAATTTTCTCATAAAACAAAACAAATATGAAACAACAAACACGACGTCGTTTAGTTGTTGACTAAAAAAGTCAGAGGTTTTATTTTTCTTTTGAACAACAAAAAAGTCTTCTTCTCTGTTTGAG